AATGTGAGCATAGGCTACACAGCCAAATACTCTCAGTTTGTCGAGATCTGGTGGATGTCCCGACCAAACTTCTTCATGTGTCTTCATATCTAACACAGTCAAAGGACATATGTTTATCAGGTATGTTGTCGTTGAAATAACTTCAGCCCAAAACACCTTTTTAATCCAACACTAGTCAACATGCATCTTACTCTCTCTAAAATAATTCAACTAAACCTTTCAGCCAAGCCATTTTGATATGGAGTACATACTGTAATTCTGTGTCTTGCAATACCAGAGGCAGCATAAAAGTTGTCGAAAGGCTCATTGTAAAATTCAAGGCCATTTTCGGTTCTCAGCCTCTTGATCTTTCTGCCAGTCTGATTTTCGACCAGAGTCTTCCAACTTTTAAAATTCTCAAAAGTTTCATCCTTAGTCTTCTGGATAAATATCCATAACTTTCTGGAATAATCATCTACTATGGATAGAAAATACCTTGCTCCTAAATATGATGGAAACCTTGCAGGCCCCCAAAGATCAGCATGAATGTAATCAAGGGATCCATGTCTTCTTTGTTTGCCTTTGTTGAACTTCAATCTGCAAGATTTTCCAAGTACACATGGTTCACAAAACATCAGCTTTTCGACTTTGTCACCACCAAGAAAATTTTGTTTCCCCAGTTCGACTAGACCCCTTTCACTGACATGGCCCAATCTCATGTGCCAAATCTTTGTCTTCGGCAAAGGTTTCGTGGATGAAATATTTGTTGAACCACTTACAACTTCAACATCAAGGGTATACGAACCTTGTTTCTTCACGCCTCCTAAGACTTCCTTCAATCCCTTCATGAATCTTAGGATGCTTTTCTCTCCTTGGAAAATATATCCTTTCTTGTCGAATTCACCAAGATAAATCACATTTCTCTTTAAATCGGGTACTTACCTAACTTCAATCAATAACCTTATTGACTCATTATGGAGCTTGAATCTCACAGATCCAACACCTGCAATCTTGAAAGATTTGTTGTTTCCCAGCAATTCAAATCCACCATGTTGATCACATAGTTCCTCGAACAAGTCTTTGTTTGGAGTCATGTGCCAAGTGCAACCTGAATCCATAATCCATTATTTTCTTGAGTCACTGCTTGAAACCACAAGAACATCATATGAGTCAAAATCATCTTGAACAATGGTTGCATTGCCATTATCCTTACCTCCATGATCTTTCAGGCGTCTAGGGCACACCTTTCTTGTGTGACTCTCCTTCTTACAATGCTAGCATCGAATACCAGATTCTTTGCTACTGTAAGACTTATGCTGACTTTTACCTTTCTTCTTATCGAACTTACCATCCTTTCGCAAGAATTTTCCCTTAATGGTCAAACCTTCACCAACCGTCGAAGGTTTATGCTTCTTTCGTTAGTTTAAGTCCTTAGAATACAAGGCTGATTGAACATCTTCAAAGGCCAGGGACTCCCTTCCATACAAGAGAGTTTCTTTGAAGTGAGCATGAATTCTGGGCAAAATGCACAATATCGATATCACTTGATCTTCATCATCGATCTTCACATCAATATTTTCAAGATCAAGAATCAACTTGTTGAAACTATCCAACTGCTCAACCAACACTTTATCTTCAATAATCTTGAATAAATACAAAGCTTGCTTCAGGTAGAGTTGATTTACTAGTGATTTGGTCATGTACAAACTTTCAAGTTTCACCCATAACCTTGATGCCATTGTCTCATCTGATACCTATCGAAGAACCTTATCACCAAGGCTCAACAAGATTGCGCTGCAGGATTTTTCTATCATGACCATCTTTTATTTTTCTGATAACACATCGTCCATAGCCGCCACTCCCTTCAACGCTTCCAAACAACCTTGTTGAACCAGTAGGGCTTTCATCTTCAAGCGCCACAGACTGAAATCATTCACTCCGGTGAACTTTTCAATCTCATATTTTGTTGAAGGCATCTTCTCCATGCTCACAACACCAATTTATTGTGAAAACGATGTCAAGAACAGAGTATATCAGGTTTCTTTAAGGCAAGAAATCCATAAGGTATGAATCAGGAAAACAAGAAGAACACAAGGAATTGATTATTAACTGCTATTCTTTACTTTCTCTTTGAAACAAGATTACAAGTGTTACAAAATAACAAATAACCTCTATCACTCTAAATTAGGATTTGCAGTATGCAATGATTAGAGCCTAATATGTTATTTATAATAAATCTAACATACTAAACTAATGGGCTTTTTCACAAATAACCATTAACTTAGGGTACAAGCTAACTTAAACAATTTGACATAACAAATATGCCCAATTAGCCATTCTAACTAACCTAGCATTTTCGACAACTGTATGCTTGACCATATTTTGACTACATTCTACTTCGACACCAACATGTGAGCAACTTTCGACTGCATGCTAAACTCTGTTGAACTTGTCGAACCACGAAGCTATTCTTCAACCCAATAGAGTTCGATCCAATATCTCAAAGATACCATGAGAATGCAAGTAATCCAAGGTTAAATCTGGTTATTGCATGAAATAATACAAAACATTCAAAATGGTATTGAGAAAATTGTCATAAACCACTTTTAAAACCCAAAAGATATGTATTTTTCATCATTAAAAGAGCCGTAACAGTTAAAGTAAGAGTTAAAGTACGAGAGTAGTTAAAAAATTGGTATGACATTATATTTTAAATCAAAAGAAAGTTAATTTGAATAATGGTTTCAGCAAGAAATAGTAATAGTAGACAACAAACATTGAACACTTTTTTTTGCATCATTATGTTAGTTAGCCCATCGTCAACATATTTATTCACAAAAGGGTTAGTTTGATACCATGTAAATGCAAGTAATCCATGGCTATACCTGGTTATTGCATCAAAAGAATACACAAATTTCAAAGTAGTAATGAGTAGGGGTGGCAATTAAATTCATTAAGACAAAATTTATCCAATAAAAAATCCATCTAATCCATTCATCAAATAAAAAGTATATTAATGGATTGAAGTTAAGTCCATCCATTTATATCTATAGATGGATCCAATTCATCCACCACATTTTAATGGTCCAACAGATTATTTTTATATTATTATTTAAATCTAATAAATCTATTTTTTTATTAATAAAACCTTAATTTTTTTCAAAAATAAAGAAAACGATGTTATTTAGAATTTTGAAAAATCGAGTTTTTTCAGAAAAATAAAAAAACTGAGTTTTTTTGGAAAATCGAAAAATCGAGTTTTTTTCGGGAAATCAAGTTTTTTTTCTTCAAAAAATCGAGCTTGTTCGAAAAAATAAGTTTTTTTTTGAAAAATCGAGTTTTTTCGGCAGAAAATCGAAAAATCAAGTTTTTTTCTAGAAAATAAAAAAAAATTGAGTTTTTTCGGAAAATTGATGAATAAAAGTTTTTTATTGAAATTAAAAAAAAAATCAAGTTTTTTCGGAAAATAAAAAAAAATGAGTTTTTTCAGAAATACGGAAAATCGAGTTTTTTTGGATAATCGAAAAATTGCGTTTTTTCGGAAAATCGAAAAAAACACGTTTTTTCGAAAAATTGAGTTTTTTTGGAAAATCGGAAAAATCGAGTTCTTTTTCCAAAAAATTGAAAAAATCGAGTTTTTTTCTTCAGAAAATCGAAAAAATTGAGTTTTAACGGAAAATTGAAAATCCAGTTTTTTTTTCTAAAAAATGAGTTTCACGAAAAATCAAAAAATCGAGTTTTTCTTAAAAATCGAGTTTTTTTTCTAAAAATCGAAAATATCGAGTTTTTTTACAGAATATAGAAATATCGAGTTTTTTTTCCGGAAAATCAAAAAGTCGAGTTTTTTCGGAAAGTCAAAAAGTCAAGTTTTTTCGGAAAATTAAAAAATCAAGTTTTTTTTCTCCGAAAAACCGAGTTTAATTTTTTGAAATATCGAAATATCGAGTTTTTTTAGATAATTGAAAAATCTTGTTTTTTCGGAAAATCAAGGAATTGAGTTTTTTTGGAAAATCGAAAAATCAAATTTTTTGAGAAAATCGGGAAATTTCGGAAATCCGTAAAAATTGAGTTTTTTTAGAAAATTGAAAATTTGAGTTTTTTTGGAAAATCGAAAAATCGAATTTTTCCGAAAAAACAAAAATTGAGTTTTTTCGTAAACACAAAAAACCAATTTATTCGAAAATACAAAATATATTTAACAAAAATAAATAGATATATTTAAATTAATTTTTTTTTATATATGGATATCCATTCATTAAAATATTATTAATGGATGAATTTGATGAATTTTATTCTTAATGAATAAATTGGATTGAATATTTTTAAGGAAATTTTAGTGGATTGTTAATGGATTAATGGATTGTTTTGATCCATCCATTAACAAACCAATCAATATCCATCTATTCCATGCATTTTGTCACCTCTAGTAATGGACAAAGTTGTAACAAAACATATCCAAAACTCAAAAGAAGTGTATTTTTCAATATTAAAAAAGCTGTAACATTCAAAGTGCTAGTGAGAAAAGATTATGAAGAAAATGATAATGAAATCAAAATCAAGGAAATCAAACAAGAAAAAATATGAAATACAACCCACAAAAACATGAAACAAAACACCAATGTTCTGAAATCTAGAGAGTTCAGTTTTCAAAAGTTGATCCTCAAGACTGAAGAGATTTCTCAATAGTCATGAAGTTAGTTTTGAATCGTGAATCTTTAACATTGAAAACCAAAATGACATAAACTATGATTCTATTTTTTTTTTAGAGTGAATCATCAACTCTCAATTTTAAATACTTGCAAAATTGGCAAAAACACATTTGCAAAAGTGAATCAACATAGCTCGTCTAAAAATCAGAAGGGGTTGAATAGAGAATAGCTGAAAAAGGAACTTGAGAAATAAAGTCAAATAATACTTACATAATTGTTATCATCCAAAACAATAACGTCGACCTTATTACAAAGCTAAGATATAAAAGTCATAACAATATATCTTTGAACAGGAAACACTTGAAAAGAAGATTAGAATGAAAATGCTATTGGTTTAAGGTGAAGTGGTTCTTTCTTTGATACAACAAGTCCAAATACCTCACTCATATCTATATCTTGTTTGCCTGAATTTATTTCCCAATCATACCAATAAAGAATGCTAGCAAGTATATATTCAACCATAGCTACTCCAAAATTCATTCCAGGACATCCCCTTCTCCCAAAACCAAAAGGAATGAACTGAAAATCTTGACCTCTAAAATCAACTTGGCTCTGTTCAAATCTCTCTGGAATAAACTCTTCAGGATTTTCCCAATTTTTAGGGTCTCTTTGTATTGCCCAATTATTTACGCACACCATTGTTTTTTTAGGAATATAATACCCTTTTAGATTCACACTTGATATTGTTTCTCGAGGAGACATAAGAGGAGTAGCTGGACGTAACCTTAGAGTTTCTTTCACTACACATTTTAAATAGGGCATTTCATTGATGTCGTTTTCTTCAACTTTTGATTTATTGCCTACAATTCTTCTTACTTCTTCTTGTGCTTTCTTCATTATGGATGGATGTCTCATGAGCTCTGAAATTGTCCATTCTAATGTTGCAGAGGTTGTGTCTGTTCCACCAAAAAACATGTCCTAAAAATCGTATTGGACTTTAATTAGTTATTAGCCTTTAGTTACTATCCACTACTACTATATATATTCTCATTGAGAGATGACAAAATCATCAAGAAATCAAATGAAAAGTTATTTTATCCCTTTTATTTTATTTATTTATTTTAGCGTTCTTCCCTTTTTATTGTAAAAACCCTAATTCTTAACGTTGATAGAAAAACTTCCTATCAATTAGTGCTTTCAATTTTGATCTCACTTCCACTTAAATTCGTGACAATATTATTGTTTGATGGAAAAGAAAATGTCTGTTGGTGGATTCTTTGTTTTGAAAAAAATTTCAAGGAGCATGAAACACCCGAGTCATTGAAGGTTCTGAAAGCTGTTGGAGCATTGAGAGGTTCTGCTCTCAAATAATGGATATGGTGGTCTCATGTTTATGGAAGATATATTTGGGATACCCTTGCAACAACATTTCTATGGCATTTTAAACTTGAATTGAGAGAAAATTTACCAATTTTAGATGAGAAAATGGAACCAACAAATGAATCAATGGAGTCTGTAACAACAACTTCTTTTGTTGATTCCACCAACAACAAATCTGCATATCCAACTCATGCAATTGTTGAGGAGGAGCCAGATCTGAAATATATGAAATCCATCAAAAAAAATTCCAGAAAAAGTTGTTATTGAAGAACAAAGAGGTGAAAAAGCTGTTTCAGATGCAATAGATTTTTTTTCCAAATCCGACTTTAATTTCATCAATTTCTAATCCACCACCACTAACATTGATACATGATCAACCGTTAGTAACTCTGTCACTGCTCCCAACAGAAACAGAGTCACCACCATTGGAACTGCCATTAAAACCTCTGAATTGAGATTCATCTCAACCACCACCATGGAAACCAATCAGTATTACTTCATCTTTGTCACCACCGTCGTTGAATTCGTTAAGCATGGAAATTACTAAACCCATTCCAAATCATCTTTCATTGTCTTGTAATTTTTCCATAGAGTACCCATCATCTCATACATACTCAGAAATTTCAATGTTTCATACCAAGGATGTCCCAACAACTAACATGCCAGCTCAGAACATGGATGATTTTCGTGTAATGACTTGTGGATCTTGTAACTTTGTGGGAGACCCTTTCGAATCATATGGCTTCTTCTTCTGCAGTAGCTGCAGAGAATAAAATCACAGTGCTTTTGACAATAGTGCCAAAGGTATGATTCCATTTAGGTTTAATACGATTGGGGTTAATGATGGTATTTTCTATGGGGACTAGAGGGATGTCTTATCGTTTGAAGTCTAGAGACCTTATTGCTGATAGTATTGAGACTGTTATGGATTCTCAGTGGTATGATGAGGCTCTCCAAAAAAAATGAAACTTGGTATGCTCACCAACTGTTCGACGAAACAGGTCTCTTACGGTGGAATCATTCCTTCCATTCTGAAAGACTTGGATACGATTCTGGATGTTAAAGAGGCAAAATAAGCCTTATGTCTACGTGATACCCTTTAGTTAATCTCTTATCTAGAAGGATTCTTTCTTGGAAGCATATGTATGTCTTCCTGGGTGGGAGAGTGATCATCCTCAATTTTGTTCTTAATGTCATTCATATATTCTTCTTTCTTTTCTTAAGTTGTCTGTCAAGGTTTGGAAGAAAATAGTGAAGATTGAGAGAAGGTTCCTTTGGGGAGGGGTTAAAGGAGTTTCTAAGATTCCCTGGGTTAAATGGCTGAATGTGTGCAATCCTAAGAAGTTAGGGGGGTTTAGGTGTCAGTGACCTTATATTGGTTAACTTGGCCATCTTAGGCAAGTGGAGGTGGCGCCTGCTTTCGGGGGCTATTGATATTTTACGTGACATTATCAATGTCAGATATGGTGTTGCCCCTATGACTTCTATCTTGGATGGGAGAGCTGGTTGCCTCTATTCGGATTCACCTTGGTGAAGGTGGGTTTCCTTTCTAGGGGGTCTTGTGTTAACTCTAATGTCTGGTTTAGGGACGCTCTCTCCTTGGGTTGATGAGTCTCCACTTCATCTTAGATTCTCGAGGCTCTTTCAGCTTTCAAAGCAACCTTGTAATTTTGTTGGGGAGGTAGGTAGTTGGGAGGGCGAGAGTTGGATCTGGGACCTTAGGTGGAGAAGACGGTTTCTTTTTAATTATGAGTTGGCTCTTTTTACCGAGTTTCATTATGTGATTAGAGACTTTATCCCCTATCGATGGAGATGAGTAAAGGTGGAGCAAGTAGAGTGATAAGGCTTATTTTGTGTCCTCTGTCTACTCTTGTCTGTTGGATCATGTGTTTCCCCCAAGTAGTCTTGTATTTCATGTAGAGCTAGTTGTCCCGACTATTTGGTGTAGTTAGGCCCCCTCAAAAGTCAACATTTTCTCCTGGCAGCTTCTTCGAGATCGTATCCCGACCAGAGAATACTTACATAAGAGGGGTGTCCTTTTAACCTCTGGGACTATCTCTTGTCCCTTTTGCTCTGTTCATATTGAGTTGACCTCTCATCTCTCTGTGACTTGTGAGGTTACCTCCTCTGTTTGGTATCACATCTTTAGGTGGTTTGGGTGGTCGACCGTTTTACCTAGAGATATTTTGACCTTTTTTAGATGTTTCTCATTTCTATAGGTGGTTGAAAATGATTTGGCATGCCATGATCTGGTCTATTTGGAAATCTCTGAATGATATTGTTTTTCAAGAGCTTCGTTGACACCAAAAGTCGTGATAGACTCAGGCATTTTTTTGGCGTGGAATTGCTATCTCGGTAGGTCTGAGGTACTCAAGCATTTTTTGGGCGTGGAAATGGTATCTTGGTAGGTCTGAGGTAAACTCTCGTGTTTTCTCATATTGACTTGAGGATCCTATTCTGTGTCTAAACTATTAACGAGGTGAGTAGTTTCAACCTCCATTAGATGTGTTCTTGTTGTGTCTTTTGTGGTTGGTGTTCTTCAGGTGCCCTCGGGTTGGAGAGGTCTAGCTTCGACTGATCTTAGAGTTTTATGTGTCTTTCTTGCTTTAGTTTTCACTTTTGGTTGTTGCTTGTCCAGTAGTTCAATTTTCTTCTCTGACTATTGTGTTTTCTTTTTTATTCTGAGTTGATACTTCTTGTGTCCTTTTTGGATCTTTGTTTTGGTTGTAGAACCTTATATATATATATATATATATATATATATATATATATATATATATATATATATATATATATATATATATATATATATATATATATATATATATATATATATATATATATATATATATATATATATATATATATATATATATATATATATATATATTCTATTTGTCAAACATATTTAGTCTCCAAGTCCCTTAACTTTATTTAATGTTCTGCTTTAATCGCTTAATTAAAAAACATTATAAGTTAGTCCTTTAACCTCACTTCGATTATCTTATTTGGTCACTTTCGACAATTTTTGATAAAAAAAATATTAAGTTCTAGTGACGTGGATGTACAACAAGACTCAAAGTTTAAATGTGACTAAAAAAATATGCTTTCCACTTAAGTAGGTACCATAAAAATTACCACAATAAAGCTACATTAAGTGGAAATACTATTTTAAAATACAAATGTTAAATCACATTTAAACCTTGAACTTGTTATACATCCACGACACTTGAATTTAACGTTTTTTTAATTAGAAATTGACTAAAAAGACCAAATAGAATAACTGAAGTTAAATGAGACACTTGTAAAAGAATTTAGTTAAGATACTAAAACAAAATATTAAATAATTCGTCTAAATTGTATAAGAGTGTTTACTCCTCACATGATTAAGTTGTAATTTTTTTTTGTACATGTTATTTTTTATCCAAAAAAATATATTTAATTACATTATGTTGTTTAAATCTATTTAAATTAAGGTTTAAAAGTATTTTTGACATCCGTCATTTAAGCGAATTTTGATTTTTCTATATTTTATCATGGTAATATATACTTTTTAGTTTTACTGAGTGGTTTCTAAAAGTGAAAAAATATATAAAAAGTTAATATTGTCTCATGCTATTTGAACAATTTCAACTTTTGCTTCATTGCCCCTAACACCAACTAATTTCTATAGTGAGAGTGTAAAACTAAAAAAACTTATATATAATGAGTTGTTGAAAAAATTATTAAATGATTGAATGATTGTAATGACGTGTTAAATGAAGTGTTTAAGTGAGGTAAATTAATTGGTGTTGGAAAGATTTAACCTGTTGAATAAGGAGGGAATAAGAACCACATAAAACACTTGATAAAATCTTATGTGATTTTTTAGATTTTTATCTCATAATAATTATTTGAAGTCAATTATTTTATAATAATTTTTTTTTTATTTTCACAAAAATATGTCATTTTTTTGTCTATAAATAGAGACTTGATTCATTTGATTTAGACATAGAAAAAAATCAATTTTTTATCTCTAATTTTTCTATTTAAGAATATAAAAGTAGTGAAGTAGGGTGTTTGAATTTTGTTGAATTTTATTAAATAAAATCATCGTAGAAAATACAAATTGAATGTATATTAAATTATTAAGTTGAATGTATATTAAATTATTAGATAGAAGAGAGAGAAGATAACATAAAATATATTTAAAAAAAATGTTGAATATATAAACTGATAAAATCTAAAAGACAATTTAAAGAGGAAACTAAAACTCGTTTAAATTGGGGAGGGCAAAACTAACTTTAACCCTTAAATTGATTAACAAGAATATGTTACTACTATGATTAGTTATGTTAGTGTGTTAAAATAGAATTGTTTAATCTTAATTATATATTTGTATATGCATCTAAGTTTGTGTTTTTAAGTGAGGTGAAAGAGTATATTTAAGACAAAAAAATTCATAAAAGAGAGAATAATACCATTAGAATTCCTTTGATATCATTATTGGAGAGTTCAAACCCAAGCATGCCATCCTCTTGCAATTGAAGAAGAATATCCACAAATCCTTTCTTCTTGAATTGAGCATTTTCTATCTTCTTTAAAGCCAAACGCTCTTCAATCACTTGATCAAACAAATTATCAAGCGCACGAAAAGTGTCCTTAAACTCCCCAATTTTACCACTAAGAAGATCAATCCAACCCAAAGAAGGGAAATAATCTCCAACAACAAAAGTTGTAAGATGAATCATAACTTTTCTTGCTAACTCTTTCACGTTTCCTTCACCTTCACACTTCCTTCCAAGAGCACTTTTACAAATAATGTTGTTGGTTGTTGAAACCAACATCTCACTAAGATTCACACATGCATTATTCGAGGCAGCTTCACGTAGCTCACTCACCATTTCTTCAACTTCTTCTTCTCTAATAGCCTGAAATGATTTTACACTTTTCATACTCAAAAGTTCTAGAGCACATATTTTTCTTTTCTGTCTCCATTTTTCTCCATAAGTTCCAAAACCAACGTCCGTACATCCATACAATAAGATTTTTGGAGCTATATTTTGTGGTCGGTTTGAAAAAACTATATCATGATTTTTCATGATTTCCATGGCTACATCTGCTGATGAAACAACTAGGGCTGGAGTTTGTTTTTGTCCTAATTGCAACAACATCATGTTGCCATATTTTAGTGATAGGTCTCGAAGTGAACGGTGTGGAAGTGTTCCTAGCTGATGAAGATTACCAATGAATGGTAGTTTTGGTGGGGATGGAAGCTGATTTAGATTGGTTTTGGGTTTGAATTTTCTAAATGCAAACTTAAAAATCAACACACTTATAAGAAAAAAAAGAGGTAGACAAAAGGGAGAAGAAGAAGAAGAAGCTTCTGTGAATTGTTTCTGTGATATCATTTTAAAAGCCGTTGCTTTTCCTTGCATATTTGAACTTAGAGTCAGACATAACATAACATATATATACCAGGGTTGTTAATTTGCGATGCAGATTCCTATGGTCATTTTGAAGCACACATTCGATGCATTAGTGACCATTTGATTATTTGATCTATTTGATTATTCGAGATATAACAAAACATTATATATTTAAATAACTAGGAGTTTCAAAAGACTAAAGTTTGGACCACTTAAAAAAATTAAACAATGACAAATAAAATTAGAAAATAAAATGATAAACAAATTAGAAAATAAAATGATAGAGACAACCATTCCATTTGATTGTGACATTTGGAAAATTAATATATATTGCATAAATGTTTCACTATTTAATAATTTACTTAATATTTTAATTATTAATGATTGATTAGTTTATTAAAGAATAAATAATTATTAAATATAGTTAAAACTTTAAATATTTTTCTTGAAACATTAAATAGTTGAAATTTGAAATATTTAATAAACAAATTATTTAATAAATTAAATAATTGAAATAAATTATTAATATTAATATTTATTTAAATAGTTGAAATAAACTAAATAATTTAGTTATGGTTGAAACATTAAATAGATGAAATAAACTATTAATATTAACATTTACTTAAATATTTGAAATAAACTATTTAATAAAATAAATAATTTATTGAAACATTAAATAGTTAAAATAAACTATTCATATTAATATTTATTTAGATAATCAAAATAAAATATTTAATAAATTAAATAATTTACTTATACGTATAACATTAAATAAGTGAGGTTAAATTACACCCATACATAAAGCATAGTTAAAAGGGAACATGGTGCACTTTTAAAATTAAATCGTCAACACATAAAAGCGTGACCTATTACATTTTTAATTACAGTAATTATCTATTTTTCCTTTGCCATATATATATATATATATATATATATATATATATATATATATATATATATATATATATATATATATATATATATATATATATATATATATATATATATATATATATATATATATATATATATATATATATATATATATATATATATATATATATATATATATATATATATATATATATATATATATATATATATTATTGTTGCAATATAACAATAAAATGAAATGATTGGCCTTGTAAAAAGACAATCTCTTATAATTTTAAAGGTCATGAGTTCAATTTTTTTTTAATATTAATTTTTAAATTTTTATCTTCTAAAATTTTAAGACTTAAACAATAAAAAGCAATTATATAAAGAAAAACTGCGACACCAGTGATGTTAAACACACTATTTTTATTAAGTGAACTTTAATGTCAAGAACTAATTAAAAAAAAAATCAAATATTAAATTTTTTATAGAAAATTAAAATAAAAAATACAGCAACTTAATATTCTATTTTATAGAATATAAGATATTTTAGGTGTGGGGTTTAATTTGTAGGTGACAATGTTTAGTGATCTGACTTTTAAGAATTTAAGACCCCACATTTTTCAACATTTTTCAATAATTGTAAAATTATTATACTTTTGGCAATTTTACTTATTTGTTCTGTCGGTGGATATTAGTGAACCACTTATTCTTTTTGAGATGAATATATAACAATGTGTTTCATTTTGAATAATGATTTAATTTGAAACATATGCAAAAATGCAAACTTTTTCCTATAGCCTAATATCGATTTATTAGAAAAAGAATAGGAAAAATTGTGCCTTGTTTTGAACTAAACAAAACAATAGAAAAAAAAAAAAAGATAACATATTGTATTATTCTTTTAGAATTAATACCTATCTCTCTCTCTCTCTCTCTGATATAGATAAAATTTGAAATACCCATGTAAAATTAGACTCCCTCTTTGAATTATAAAAATCCTGTTTTAATCCCTCATCAAACCTAATCACCAGAAAGAATGAGGCAGTACTGTTATATGTTTTTTTTTTGTTTTTTTAAATGATTTTAAGTGACATGATTTTTATTATCTATTTTTTTAATATTAGCTGTTTTTTCTCTTTTAATATCTTTTTTATTCTAAACTATTTAAAATATAAATATTAAAATCAAAAATAATTATCAAAATTTCATTGTGTAGCAGCAAAAATTTTAAATTAAATTATTGATTGACTCAACTCGTAAAGTGAAAGTCGTTACCGTACTTTATTTTATCTAAATAAAGAGGAAAAAAACGAATAAATCTCAAAAGAGAAAAAGATGAAGGTAAGGGGGTTGATTAATGAAAGAGAGGGTGTTAGCACCTTAAACATCTACGGTACTCCATAGAAAGCTCTTTTAAAATCTGTGTTTTGGCTATAAAAAAAATATTTACAAAATGAAATTATGGAGATGAGAAAAGAAGTGGATTTTTACAATTTTTGCATCCGCCGCAGTTGCGAACTTTTGTGCCTACTTATCCCCTTCGTACAATAGAGGATTAGGGAACTCATAATTCTTCTCAAAATTTTTGAAAAGTTTTATGTGTTGGTTAATTTTAAGAAAAAAGTTTTAAAGAGAAAAGTCAACGCGGAAAAAAGCTTTGAATTTGTTTTGTATTTTTTAAGTATTGAAGAAAGAAGTCATATCTTAATTAAAGTTGATTAATAATTTTATTAAGAAAAGAAATTTGAAAATGCATGGACCTAAGTCCAACTTTTTTATGAAAGCGGTTCAAGTTAGAAAACAAGAATCCTTTGAAAAAGGGAGAAGATTTTGAAAATTAAAGAAGAATGGGAGGAGATGAAGAGACTATCCTAAATCACAAAGTAAAAGTATTAAGTGTCAATTTGTGTATAAATTCATATCAATTGTTGACACTTTCAGACCTTTTATTTTACTTTTTGATTAGATTAAATATTTATTTTAGTCATTTTGCGTAGTGTTTAAAGAGTTGTGAATGTTTAATGTGTTTGTTAGTATTTCAGCAAAACTTGTGCAGAAATGATGGCAAAAATGGAGAATTTAGACTTGCCAAGCAAAAGAAACAAAAGTGTTGATGCTGCAAAGGATCGCCCGACGACAGGATGTGTCTCCTGGCAAAAATGGTGAAAAATAGAAGCGTCAATCCTGTATTGATTCGCTTCTGGGGCGCCTGGAGAAAGGAGGATCGCCCGGAGAAGCATTCTTATCGCCGGACGATGAAAGATGCTCTTTTGAGGTTTTAACACGCCCAGCTGGTCACGTGTGGCATCCAGCCAAAATCGCTCGGCGATGCTTTATGGTCGCCCGACGATGGAACGCAGTTAGGCCATACTTTTGGCTACTTTTTGCCATATTTTGTGGAAATTTTTCCACCAACTTTTGTCTTGGGAGGGAATTTTTTTTGATTTTGGAGATAGAAACATTTTGTTCTTTGGACAAAAACATTACAACATAGAAAGTTTATTTTTGGTTCTTATCTTAACAAGGAGAAGAAGAAGAACACTCTAGCATCTTGCCTCAAGGAGACTTGAAGATTGATGTTCATCATCATCCATTGTTTATTCATTGAGCAAGGTATCATGACAATGAGTAGCTAAACACTTTTTGTGTCAAGGTTAGAAGTAGTCAACCTAGACTTAATGTATTTCTTTTAATCATTTTGTATATGAACTTGGTTTAAGATCAATACATGTTGAATATCTTTGTATCATTGTTATTTTTATGGTTTGGTTCATTATTGAGAAGTAAGTTCTAAGCTTGACCTAAGATATTCATCTATTAATAAACAAACTCTAGACATAGATTTGTGAGCTAGTATTCACTTGTATCAAGCATTAAAGATTATCATGTTAATAGTTAGATTGAGAGATCATTTAGAGATTAACATGATAACACCCATAATATTGCTTAGACATGAGAAATATTGAGAGGATACGTGAATGTATTGATCATTGATTAGTTCATATGCAAGGTTAATTGAATAACTGTGGAATAGGTTGATGAAAATTAATATTGACACCTTTTTATCAAAACAAACATTTTCAAACAACAACCTATGTATTATCCAAATCTCTATCTAGTTTGATCTTTGGTTACTAAAAGCAAGCATTAAAATTTTGTTTATCATTCAAACACTTATAGACACTTAAACTATAGAACGACATTAATATCACACCAATCTCTGAGGAAAATGATAATATAAATACTTTTATTAAAAATAGTACAAACAAAATGGCGCCGTTGTCGGGGATTGGCGTTTGACTATTGAAAGCATTGTAATAGTTTAAGTGTTTTAAGTTATTTTTTTATTAATACTATCTTTTGTTTTTCACTTGTTTTGTTAGTGTTTTCAGAATTTAGTTTATGCGAGGAAGTATTTCTGAAGATCAACTCCTATTTGTCCCTGAAATCGAAAAGACTTGCAGAAAGCTTAGTAGCAAGACTAGAAGAAGGGGGGAGCTAGCGAAAGAAAGAAGAGAAAGAGGAGAGGCGTCCACTTCTACTATACCTTTTAATCAAGATATATAAGAAGTTATGGCGGTAAATCCACCAAGAGGTCCCTGTACAAATAGTCCAAGGTTGAATGCTCAGTTTGCTAAGAATGCGGACCAAAGACATTCGGAAATGAAAACTAGAATTTTACAACTGTTGTATCATAACCCTTTCACTGGGTTAGATCATGAAGATCCTTACACCCACCTCATAATTTTCTATGAGATAGAGGATGTTATAGGAGCTCCAGAGGAAGATGAAGAACAAATGTTTAAAATATTATTTCCACATTCGTTGATTGGTAAAGCTAAGTGTGATACGGTGGGAGAACTGACTTGAGTTTTGCGTTTATGTTCGCAAATGTTTCGGTTTAGCAAGAGTCGCCGCCGACTTTTTATTTTATCCTAAGGAAAGGTCAAAAAGCACATGAAAGACCTTTGAGATGTTTTCGTGGGTTCGGGGGGTAGATCATGAAAAGGGAAGGTGCTAGCACCCTTTTCATCCATGGTTATCCATGGGCTCTTAGTTACTTGTTTTAGATCACTTGCCTTTGCTTCTCAATTGTTTGAAAT